CTTAATTGAACAACTTTAGTATTTCCTGTAATATAAACTTACCTAAGTAATATGTGTTATTACAGGATGTAAGAATGTGAAAATTGTTAAAAGTCATAGCAAAATAAAATTTGAAACAGTGTAAAGTAAAAGCATATGTATTATTGGTCAAAGTAGAAGTTGGCGAAATTTGGAAAAATTAAAATCCTTCAAGCTGTCACTTTTGTAGACCTCGTCATCTACAATTTAAAAAAGAGAGTCCAATTTTATCCAGAGAAGGAGAACCAGATCTAAAAAATCAAATAAATACCTTAAAGACATTTTGGAAAGTTTTTAATATTGCAGGAAGAATTTTGACATTTAATATCAGCTATAGGATTGATCTTACAATGTTTGATAATAAAGTAGTTAACGCACTTACAGAGACGAAATCCACTCAATCCTGCAATGTGTGCAATGCTAAGCTCAAGGAAATGAACAATATTGATTTATTAAAAGAAAAAACTGAAAATGACTCGGCCTTGGGGCTCGGAATTTCAGTTTTGCATTGCTGGATAAAATGCTTGGAATTTATTCTTCATTTGAGTTATAAAATTGAAATTTAAAAGTATAAACCAAAAACAATTGAGGAAAAATTATCTGTAGACTTAAAAAAAAGAGAGATTCAGATACTCTTCAGAGAACGGTTAAGTCTATACGTTGATATACCTAAAACTGGGTCTGGAAATATGAATGACGCCAACACTGCCAGAAGAGCATTTGAAATTGTGAAGTTTTTTCTGAAATTACTAAAGTTGATTGTGATATAATTAAAAGATTGTATAATATTCTCATAACCATATCTTGTGGATATCCTATTAATATCAATGAATTAGATTTATACTGCACTGAAACAGCTAAACGTATAGTGAGTTTATACAACTGGTATGTTATGTCTCCTACTGTACATAAACTGCTACTACATAGTTCTTCTATATCAAATAAATTACCTTTGCCAATCGGGGTATATTTGGAAGATACACTAGAGAGTTGAAATAAACAGATAAGAAATTCTAGACTTGAGCAGACGGCAAAAATATCAAGGTTAAACACAATAATGAATCAGATGCACTACCTTCTAGTAAATCCAAAAGTATCAAGCATATCTTTTAGAAAACATAAAAGCTATCGAGGAAAACCGTTACCAGATGAAGTTTTTAAATTAATTGTAATGTAAATAATTAATTTAATGTAATAAAATACAGTTTCTTTCTCTACGTATCAACATCCTTTCATAACTATTTTTATAAAAAATATTAAGTAGAGCAATATATCAAACTTATGTGTTCGTCTTGAAGGTTGTAAAAAAAAAAAAAAAGTTTTTGTACGCGTATAGTCACCTTTAACACGCGTAAGCGCGCATTTTACGCGTCGAAACAGCGCATAAAAAAAATTTATTAACAAATTTGAAATCTTTCACTCAAAAATTATTATTTTAATATATAACATTATTTACGATTTATGTCAAATTTTACTTAATTTTTGCCGTTTTTTGATTGTCCTGAGTCACTGTGCGTCGCTTTTTATGGTACCTTTAAGAGTTTCATTAAAGATATCGGTTATTATAATGTTGTCAATTAAGGTAGCTAAAGTTGAGGTTACTCTAGTAGGTTTGTTAATTAGTGGAATTGCTCCATGTTCGAATAAATTATCGTAAAACTTTTTAATGTTGTTATTAACGTAATATTCAAAACAACTTAAATTTACGTCACCAATTAAATAATTTCCTTAAAACTATTTTTTAAAATATCATTACACAAAATTGCATTAAAACTTTCAATATGACCAGATGGTGGGCAATAACAGCAGCTTATAAGTATGTTTTTAGAACTATTGGTTAAAAGGGTAGCAGGAAAAAATCCCCCCAAAATAATCCCCCGAGAAAAAATCCCCCCGGATAAATCCTCCTAAGAAAAAATCCCCCGAGAAAAATCCCCTCAAAGAATATCCCCCCCCCCAAAAAAAAAAAAAAAAAAAAAAATTTAATTTTAAATTAAAAGTTATCATTAAAATAGTTATATTTATTTTAAATAGTTTTATAAAATACTTCATTTTTTATCAAAATGTCAAGTTATGCAGTTGTCGGTAAAATGCGAACTTTTTTGTGAAACAAAACATATTTTAAAGACCATTATTTTTATGATAAAAATAATAATAAAAAAAACTCTCCAATTTTCAATTATGTATTTTAAAGCTTTATTTAAAATAAAAATTTTATTTTTTAACTGTAAAACATGCACGTTGCAGTGTTGCTACATTGACTATCTTATAGCCTGACTCGCAACGGAGTGCTGTTACATCGACTGACAAATAGCCTGATTCGCAACGGTGTGCTGCTACATCGACTGAGGGTTGGGTTTGGGCAGGCAATCTATCAAATAGTTAAAAAAATATATGTTTTTTTTCATATTGTATTCGTCTAGCTTCACTTAATTTTCTTTTCTTTATTTTTTAAACAATTTTTTCGCCTAAAAGTCCTTAAAATATACCGCTAAAATAACTACGATGCTTCGCAACAAAGTTCCTATTTTACCAGATCGCATTTCGCCAGGGTAAGGGTTTCACATTCGCTACCTCGAGGAATAGCGCATAACTTGACATTTTGATGAAAAATGAAGTATTTTATATAAATATTTAAATTAAATAAAGAAATAAATATAACTGCATAATGATAAATTATAAGAAAAAATAAGTTTTTTTTTTTTTTTTTTTTGGGGGGGGGGGGGGATTTTTTCCGGGGAGGGGGGATTTTTTCTCAGGGGGATTTTATCCTAAAACCGGTTAAAAGCTCAATTGTTAAAATTTCTTTATTGTTATGAGAAATACTCATTTCAGGTCTAATAAAAAACCCTCAAATTTTCCGTTATATAAAAAAGTACACCACCTGCGCGTTTATTTGCTTTACGCACTAGTGGGATCATATTAATTAAACCTAGAAGATGGAGATTTAAATTAAATTTAACGTCATCAAATTCACACCACGTTTTAGTTAAGCAAATTATACTAAATCCGGTGGGAAATCGGCTAGCGAATAGCGAGCTATAATCGTTACGATATAGACAGCGATTTAGCCACGAGACTCTATAACACTAAAATTTCAAATTTTTAAAGATGTTAGAGACATTAGTAAAGAATAAAATAAGAAAAAAAAATCGCTTGAAAATCGCTATAAAGCTAGCTAGTCGCTCGCTAGTCGCTAGCTCATTTCCCACCGGAAATGTATTTGTACCAAGTCGTTAGATTGAAAAAAGTGAAATGATAGCGAATCAAAATTGTTTTGATAATTAGAATCCATTTTTAAAATTTAAATAACTAGAAATAAAATAAGTCATTTAAAAATTGCGCGTAAATCGCGCGTAGTTTGTCGTAAATAACTTTAGCAAATTTACCTTTGCCAAAGCTCTTAATTCCATTACTTCTTTAAACAACTTTTTCCTAATTTCCGTGGTTTTTTCGCTAAAATCTTCATTAACATATAGTTTTTCATTCCAAAGTTTTAGTTTGATAAGTTTTTCAAAAACTACGTTTCTTTCTTTGTAATTAAGAAATTTTACTATTATTGTTCTGTTCTTTTTAAATCCTTTTTCATTTCTTCCTGTTCGATGTGTCCTTTCAATCTCTAAATCATTAGTAAACCAAACTTGGATTTTAAGGCTTCTTGAATTTTTCTCTCGCTATCTTCACGTGATTCGTTCTCGCTTTTTTCGACTTTATTATCCCTTACGGAAATATTCCATGGAAAACCCATGGAATTCCATGAGTAAACCATGGTTTTCCCATGGAAAACAGAAGTTCCATGGAATTTCCATGGGTAAATTTCATGAAAATTGAAATCCCATGGAATTTCCATGTTTTTTTTACTTATTTTAACTGTTTCCAGTAGCTTTGCTTACTTTGCATAACTTGCAATAGTATAGCAAGTATGTCAAGTAAACCAGTTTGAATTTTAATGCCTACTTGGCAAATTATTTGCCAAATAATTATTATTTGGTTTACAACAAATAAATGTTTAGTTTTAATCTACATTAAATACTAGTGTATTAATGTACATAGTGTAATTTAATGTACATTCAAACTAGTATAACTATTATTATAAAACTTATCGAACATATTAAAGAAACTTATCTAAAATATTAAAATACAAGCAGTATATTAGATAAGATTAGATAACTAAGATAATAAGATTAGATAACTAATGTACAAAAGATAACTAGTATGATCTTTTTTATTTTTTTTATAATAGCCTTAGATTACATAAAAATGCTTGAAGTTTATTGTATCGTAAATGTTCATTAAGTATTAAAAAACATTTTTTTATGATAAATGTTCTATTTAATTTTAGTTCTGTTATGTTATTTTTGTCTTTTTGTTGTTGTTTTTTCTTTAGAATTATTAGAATATGTAAATAATGTAATATAAATAATGTTTATAAATTCTTTTATATTTACTTTATTATTTTATTTAAATTACTACATTATAAGCCAACAGGTTTGACTGGCAATATAAATAATGTTGTTCATCGTTTATATTGTTTATAACATCGTCAGTTTTTATATGCATTTAATATTTTTAAAAATAGTTCAAAAGCTGTCAAAATAAAATGGTGAATTGAGTTTAAACCAGAAAAGATATAAACGTAATCTTTGGGATTCAACTTGTAAGGATGTTCCAAGAACCACTTAGTTGGAGAAGGAAAACTGTTGTAATATTTTATAAGTATCAGTAAGGGAATTTACTCAATGCACAAGATTTTACTTCATAGTTAAATATAAGCATATAAAAGCAATGTTTATAAATAATACACTATTATTTATTATAATACAATTATTTTTATTTGTTTATATTTAACTGATGTAAAGTGCTCGTCTTTAGTTAAAATAAATTAATTTATGCACACACTTTGATATTTACTATGCTTTTACATTACTATACTTTATAAATTACATATTTGTTATGTTTTAAATAGTGAAGTAAAAATATGCTGACTTGTTCTATATAAATGTTTCTAACATGCAGGTAACATTTATATATGTATTAGTTTGAATAAATCATTTTAATAAAGTTACATTATAGGCAGGAATGTTTGACTGGAAATATAAACGATGTTGTACATAATGCAGATAGCTTAGGCAAAAAAGAGGTAACAATCTAATAATTTGTATTTATAAATAATGATATATTCATTGCTACTTTTTTCTATAACATTCATAACATTCATAAACATTCATAATTGTGTATAATGCCTAATTATAAAGTAAGTTATAATAGATAATAATTATAAATAAAATGAATTAGTAAATAAAGAAAACTAGTTAGAATGTATATAATAGTTGTATGATGTATTGTCTAGATTGGTGAAATGGAGAATGAGACTAACTAGGGTAAAAAAAAAATGAATATTAATATGTGAATGGTACTTTGTTTAACATCTACCTGTTTCTACAGATACAGTACAGACGCATTTATAAATGGGCTTGATGTTTTTTTGAATTAAATATGTTGTATTGATGGTTCTTTTTAACTTGTTAAAACTTGAAGTTATTATCAAATTTATATATACTATTTTTATCAAATAGTTAATATAAAATAATAAGCATGTAAATTGTTTTATTTTCTGTAAAAATAGTTTTCTTGATAAATTTCAATTGTTTAAAACTATGTATATCACTTATAGTATTATATTACTTGTAATTTTTTGTTTTATTTATTTTCAGTATGTTATACATATGCATGCATTAAATATTGTGGGGAAGTCAAGTTTTGATGTTTTAGGTGCATTATAGCTATTATTTTTCAAAGATTTGTAGGATTTAACAAGATTTAAATTTTATTTTGTTTATTGATTTTATTTGGAGAAAGCGATCTCATAGATTAAGAGAACTCAATAATAGTGGGATACAATTTGCTTTTATGATTTAATATGACAATTCAAATTACATTAGATAAAAAAACTTGAAAACAAATCATGCTTTTTTACCATGAAAAATCCATAAGTTTTCTTTGGAAAGGTGTTCCTAATACCTATGGAAATTCCATGGTTTTTCCATGGATGGAAAATCATTGAATATCCATGATATTTGGAACACTTTTCCATGAAAAACTTAAAGATTTTTCATGGGAAATTCATGTGTTTCCCATGAAAACTTATGGTTTTTCCATGGAAAACTCATGGTTTTTCCATGGAAAACTCATGGTTTTTTCATGGTAACGTGTTTCAAATACCCATGGTTTTTCCATGGTTTTTTTTTCTAAAATTCCCATGGGAAATTTTCGTACGGGATACCTAAGATTACTCCTTTGACTTTGATCTTCAAGTTCGACATGCTTGTCTTTCAAATCATTGTTTTTGTCATTAAACTTTATGTTATCTGTTAGTTCGACATTTGGAATTGCGTTTTTTTTCAGTTCTTTCAATTCGGCTAGAACTGTTTCATATTTCTCACTTACAAAGACGACTGCCTTTCTTAATTCCTTCTTTTCATTTTTAAGATTTTTATTTTCATCTCGTATGTTATTAAATTCAATTTCCATTTTATCGAATTTATCATTAAAAAATTTTATTAATGTTTTCATGTATCTCCAGTAAATCCTCTATATTGGTTGCTGAAAATTTCGCCATTTTTTTTTTTTTTCTTTAAAAAAAAAAATACGTCCGTTACCAGGGGCGGACGCAGGTTTTTAATTTACCCCGTCAAAAAAAAGCGCCTTACGCCATGTTGTAAGTGACGCAACTACGCCCACAAAGCGAATAGAAAAAATGGGGGGGGGGGGGGAGAAGGAATAAATAAGGGCGGATCCGGACTATGTAGTAAAGAGGGGTGGGCAATTTTTCATTTCGTTCGATCCAAACGATTAAAGGGGGCGATTTACAGGTTTAACGATTTTTAAGCAGGCAAGCCCAAAAAAAAAAAGAATTTAGATTACACAATTTTATGCCACTTTTAAACAGCCTACCAAATTTACTTACGTTTTTTCAAAATGCTCTTATAAAAAAACATCTAAGGGAGGCCATCGCTCCCATAGCCTGCCCCCTATGTATCCCCTTAATCCTCCTGCCTTTAAGCTGGAGGATTTAAAGGGATTTTCTTTTTGCTATTTCATTGAGAAGCTCATATCTTAGTTTTACTTTGAAACTTTTTTTATATATAAATATATAATAAATATATAAACCAACAAATGATTGTTTCGCCCAATATCAGGGCTCATCAGCATGTCTAGGAACATATTTATTCCAGACATGGACAATCAGAGAAAGAAAAATTAAGAACCGAAAAGAGAAAGGCAAAAATACAAATGGATTTAAATGAACTATGATCACTAATCATATAGCTAATCCCAAACAAAAGTATGGGGTTACATTTAACCCGTCCTGTTAAGGACACCATTGAAGTCTTGGCCTTTCCAGGGGTTTCCATGCCTATTTGTTAGCTGTTATATGAAGAGAGGTGATAATAGACAAAAATTTCAAAAGTTGTTGGTGTGTTATAGAATAAACAGTATAGACACTAATCATTGAAATCAAGTCATCTATTTTTTATAGAAAATCTATTGATAACATTATCAATACAAGGAACAATTTCTTGATGGATATACATTAATGCTAAACCGTTAAGTCGACCTTCTGACATTGTTGTTCTCATATAGTCTTTTAACCGACGCATAACAGAAAAACTCCTCTCACACTCACATGAAGTAACAGGAAGTGTCCCAAGTATCCTTAAAGCTATCTTAATATTTTCAAATGCAGGAAATGATATCGATTTAAGAGTTAAAGATATATTGTCAGGAATAGTCTCAGAGAAACTTTCCCAGTATTTTTCCCAAAAGACTAGTTCCCCATTCAAGGCACTAATATTAGGGAAATCATCTATATAAAAATCACAGAATGTTTCAAACTGCTTCCTCCAACACAATTGAGTTTTGGGTCTTTTAAGAAAAAAAATAATATTAAATGGAATAATTGATAACCCTTTATATGCAGCTACAGTTTCTGATTTAAATCTTGTAGATATAGATACATGATCTATAAGAGGAATAGTAACAGCTCTTTTGAAGTAATCTGAAACAGACTCTGATGGAACATTAGAACGATTTTTTTGAATAAAACAGGTTCTTGGTTTTAAAACAAAAATTTCAGCTTTACTTGAAAGCAAACATGCTGCTTCATAGCAGTTATTATGAAAACTGTCTATATCGTTTCTGATGGAAATAAATGTATTTTTAAGAGCTGTAATAAGGTGCAAACCTTCTAAGATATTAATAGTTTTTGATTGCAGTAACCGAGTAACAGGTAAAGTAAAATCAAAGACACGTGTTGTCACAACTAAAGTAAAGACGAATTGAAAAGTGCCAATGGAATTTAAAAAAGTAGAAGATTTGTTTTGTGTGTCTTTGTTAACAGAACTCTCAGGGGAAGCCATGATATATAAAGCATGGAAAATAGATAAATAATGCTCCAGAAAAGTGTTTAAACCATCTATACGCTCAATCCATCTAGTTCTACAGATATCTTTTAATTTTTTTTTATGGGTTTGAGGTTCTCGCTCTAAAATGCTAGCTTCTAAAAACTTTTGTCTATTTTCTGAATAATTAAAAAAATAAGAAAGTTCGCGAACTTTATTAAAAACCTCAGAAACTAATTGGACATTACACGATTCACTAACTGATAAGTTCAGTCGATGGCTATGACAATGTGTATACAAAGCCTTTGAATTTATATTGAGAACCTGAGCAGAAAGACCATTTATATACCCAGAGACAGAACTGGCTCCATCATAACCCTGACCCCTACAGTTTTTTATATCTAGATTTAAGTTGCTTACACAATTTAAAAGAACATTAAACAAATCTTTTCCTTTAACTCCTTCACTACAATGAATAAATTGAATAAAGTCTTCTCTGATATTGAAATCACTATCAACAAATCGTAAAACTAATGACATTTGCTCTTTAGTAGATGAGTCACAGGCTTCATCTGCAATTATTGAAAAAAAAACATTTTTGCGAACTTCAGATAGTATAGATTTACTAATTTCTTCACCACAGCATTTAATAATTTCATTTTGTGAAGTCTTCGAAATGTAGGAGGCATTCTTTGAACAGTTATTAAGATGAGAGCCTAAAACATCATTTCCATTGCGTACAGCAAAATTTAAAAGTTTATTAAAACAACCAGTTCCACATTTCGAACACTCTCCAGCCTCTGGAAGATATTGTGAATCATTTCTGTGGCCTCTCAAAGGTGTATTGGTTTGACCGCAAAAAATTATAGCATCAACAATAGGACGAAGTATTTTGCAATTTTTTATTATTTTTTCTTTTACATTAGTATCAATGATGACATTTATTGGTTGACTTATGCCTGAGGAATGACTCAAAAAAATATTAAAACAGGCATAGTAAATGCATGTAAACCATTTTTAGTTGACTCATGATTTGAAAATGATCTAATGGCATCAGACCATTTATTGAAAGGCTCCAAATACAAATGTGTTAACTTACCTGATCTTAGTTTGAATTTATTGCCAAATAATACACAAGATAAACAAAATGCCCCATCAGTACTTTTAGAATATCTCAGCCAAGAAAACTCTTTCAACCAAAGATATCTAAACTGACGGCCAGAATTTTTTGGGAAAATGTAATCTTCATTGGGAATAAACATATTTTTAGTTAATAAAAAAATTTCATGGTCAGATAAAAATACAACTTTTTGTCTAAAGAAAGCAACATCATTTTGCTCAAAAGACTGGAGAGCATTTAGTACTTCTTTAGGTGGTAAAATAATGTTCGAAGGGCATACAATATCATTATTATTATAAAAGTTAGGTACTTTCCTGATGCTTGAAGATTTTGTAAAAAAAGATTTTGATAGAACACTGTCCTTAGATGTTTTTGAATGAGAAGAAATATCTTTATTTTATGTTAATGATTGAAAAGATGTTGTGGATTGAGAAGAAGACACTGCTAATTGAGAAGAAAAACTATTTGATTTTAGAATACAAGATGTATTTTTTAAAACTGCACTAGTAGGTTTTAAGTCTGGGTTTGTTTTATGAAAGAATGTAAAGATAGAGTAAGGCTTTTTATTTGGATTTTTAGCTTCTGTACTGAGTACAATTGTAGCAACTTGATCAATGGTGGTCTGTTTTGTATCTAGAAATTTATTAGGTGACAAGACTGGGAGCGCTTTTTTCGAAATTATTGTTTTTGATTTACTGGAAAGTTTACGCTTATTAGGAATAAAAATTAGTGGGACATAGTGATTATGCTGAAATGTACCTGACTGAAAATTCCCATCATAACAAAACAAAATGTAAAATGGGGAACAAAATTTAATGGGAGTACGTGGAGAGATCTCTTGGTTAAAAAATATTTTATACTTTTCAACACCAAAATCTGGGTAACAGGAAACAATATTACAAGAAAGAACCGATGATAAACCTAACAAACATAAAAAACCAGCCCATTTTTCTGTGCTCTCACAGTTTGCAATTGCTTCAGCTTTA